GGTTCTTGTTTTGGAAACACCCAATGAGTTGCATAAATCAGCCAATGAAGTAGAACTACTTGTGGGTAGTTAGGGATACTATTTGGAAAATCAAAAGGATACAGAGAAAATACAGTATAAAAACTCATGTCTGGAGCTAAAAATCAGATCTCTAAGGGCTAGTAAGTTTTCCAGGATGAACTGAGGTTCTCCCAGAGCTGATGACAGTTCTCCAAAAGTTCTTGACCACCATGAATATGAAGATATCCAATCTACAACGATACACCAGCTCAACTTTGATATAAGTAAAATTAATAGTTCTCTTTTTCAATCAATGTGGCTTTGATAAGATAGTAATGATTGTAAGAAGTTAATGATTGTAACAGAGTGAAATATTTTAATTATGAGCTGTATTGGTCAATAGTGTTTAACCTGAAAGTGAAAGTTGGATTATTAAGAATTAACAGATGATTAAAGTTTTTAACTGCTGCTATTAAAAAGTGTATATTATGTGTAAGAACTTAAATAAACTGGATGTATTTTGTTGAATATCAGTTTCAGAATCCGTTTCATTAGTCTAATTGTAAATATCCTCGAGTTAGTGACTTGTGAGCTCTACTCGCCACTGTAATCCTCAATTAAATAAATTTGGTGTAATTAGCAGTACAGTAGAAGCTCCAAAAACTAGCCCTTATGAGCTCTGACATGACCTTCATCAACTTCAAACTGTTGTTACCAAAACACCAGGAGATATGTCTAGCTTCAATACAATCTTTTTTTAGGTTCAGAGATCTCTGGTGTTTCATAATCATATTTTTCACCTTAAAGATGAAAGTATTGTTCCAGATAGGTGTGCAGTATGGTTTTGGAGCTTACCTGTGTCTTGTACACATTGTTAAGCAAGCTTTTCGTTTTTTTACTTTCCATAGAAAACATTATATTCCCTTAATAATAAGTTGGCAAACAATGATTTATAAGCATAATGAAGTAATTTATTTTGGGGAAAACATACTAAATGTTTCGATAGAACATCGGTTTGTCTTCTTCATGTTGTATGTTCCCCCCAAATTAAATCCTTTTATTATGCTTATAAATCATTGTTTAACATGCTGTTATTATATTATCATAATATACTCTCTTCATCTTAGTATTATATTCCCTTCATCAAAATGTTGAGTCCTTTGATTATACATGATTTAACAGTTTTGCTCTATAAATATTTCCTTCAGAAAGAGTGATCACAATCAACCACTACATAATTTTTAAATGTCATAAGCTTGTCAGCATGGTTTGTTATATATGCAGAATATAAGCTTGTTTGTGATATAACTATAGTTCTACAATATTCCAACAATCAAAGAAACAGAGTAGCTAAGTTACATGTGTTCCCACAATCTGTGGTTCCACAGTGAACAAGCAGTAAGTTTACAGACTTACAGAGCTAAATTCCAGGATTCCACGTGCAGCTTCACACTAAGAATATGACAACAACAACCACAATCTGTGAACTACATTCTGTAAAATACTAATATTTTTAACTGTTTCTCTTTACCTCTACTTTATTTTGATTTTTAATTATAAAGTTTCAAATGTAAATTGAAGTCTTTGTAAAATACTTCCATATTACCATCAGTATAATTTCCTAAAAGCATAAATAAAACCTTATTGTGATGATCTGATCTATATATTGTGGTTCAACATTTCAGTGTTATTTTAAATTGAAAACATCATACATCTCATGATAATCATATATACTTAATGTTTTCATGGTTTAATATCAGGAATTTTTCAGATGGTTTGAAAACGTCATATACACCACATGATAATCAGATTTACTTGCTTGTTTTTCAGGCTTTAACTCTTCTTATATGGCCTCAGTCACTTTGACCAACCTTGCAAATACCGTGTAATCACCAATTAATCAAAAAGGTATACATACTAGAACTTTTAATGTTACAAGTGTATATTCATCAAATTTGGCAAGCTTTTAATAAATATTATAAGTCTTTTGTGCACAGAAAAACAGATTTTTTAATTGAATATTTTTACCAAATATTTGTAAAAATATGGAATCAGAGTGTGACTCAGATCCTGAATAGTCTCAATGCAAGGTGATTTTTATGTTAAGATTAAAAAAATTTCTTTTAATCTTACAGTTTCCAAATTTCATTTGCATAACCTCTAGAACTGCCTAAATAAATCAAGTTTCTTTTCAGTAAAACTTTATATTTTATCTGTTATTTTCTCTACCCTAACACTACATGGACTTCTTTGATTTGACCAACCTTGTAACCACAAAAAATACAAATTACCCATTTTTCTTCCTAGAATGACTGCAGGTTGTAACAGAAAAGTTAACATTTTCCTTAACAACCCAGACTCAGAATGACGAGATCATATATGCCGTACTCAACCAAAGGAACAGAACTCATCCTGCCAGGAATTATGAACGTTCATCCTCACTCCTCAACCAAGTGGGCAAGGAGCCTTCCACTTGCCCCCAGAATTATGAAGAAGCACATGGAACAACTGTGCTGAACCAAAAATCCAGGCTAGGGCCATTCTGCATTTGGAATTACGAGGAGATAGTGGAACTCCTTCCATGAACAATATATTAAACCAATATTGATCAAAAAGAAGGGCCACACACACCCCAACCGGATAGCTGAGCATCAATTCTGAACCAGCATTACAAGTACACTACTGTATAGGCTGGCACCACTACTATCGACATCTGGGAAGAAACATCCAGGGATCCGGGTAGGAGGGCCCCCCAACTTCACCCTCTTCTCCAAGAGTGGAGGAATTCACTCTAACATTCTGGAGGAAAAGCCTCTGTCCACCACCCCACTGGAAACTGGGTGTGGTAAGGTCTTCCTAGCTCCACTAGTAGCATCTGGGGTAATGCGCATTGGGGAGCCCTGAGAAACAGTGCTCTGGAAACAGTGCAATAAGTGAACTCAATCCAATGACCGTCAGGGATGGGCAGAATCCCCTTTAGCTTTACTCATGATAGTCCATGAGGGGTAGTCCAGCATAGTATGGTAATACCACCTGGTGAGCCCCTACGTGGTCTTATGGAATACCTCATTTCTACAACCAACAGTAATTGGTTTGATAAAAGCACACCTGTCTGGGCAACACTCGCCACAGAGTGGGATCCTGTGAAAACAAGGTAAGGGACCCTGAGAGGTAGAAATAAAAGTACTCACCCCTCTGGGTAATCTAGCAAAAATAGTTAAGATAGCTATAGGGGGTAGGCAAAAACCCTCAGATGAAGAGACTGCCAAATCAGGCAACTAAGGTGAGATAAAGGTATTGAGGGAGGTCCACTTACAGGTCCTTACAGTGACCTTCAGCATGCAATTCAACCAGGCTGCTAAAGACATAGAAAAGAGAAACCTGATTAGATGTGCCTCACAGAAAATACCTTGTTTTCAAAGAGAGTCAAAAATAAAGTGTTGTCTAGTATTTCTAAAGGTATAAGTGCAGGCAAAAAAACATACCCAAGATCAAAATCTCGTCATACATAGAGAGAAAGAGTGAGAAGATGAATCGGAGAAAAGGACTGAACCCCTTTCCTGTCTTACAGAGTGTTGGGTAAGAAGAACAGGTCTGAGGACATAGAGAGAATGAGAAAGTGGTCTATGGACAAACAGCACAAATCACTCTGACAAGGGATGTCCGTAGGTTGGCAGCCACGAAAATTAAACCTACAGGTAAAGGGGATAAATGGCATGTAAGAGTTAGGTAATTGGAAAGGTCATTTGGAACCAATTACCCAAAAGGATGTGAGGAATCTGGAAAGTGCTGGAACTCAAAAATATGTAGTTGCAACCACCAAATAGTAATTGATAAGGCCACCATAAAGAATGGAGATTGTGAAAGATGCAGAAACCTCTATCAAAGAGCCAAATCAAAAAATGAGTAATAGTTGACATCACTGACTGAAAAAGGTTCAACCTCCTCTCAATACAACACTACCGATATGCATGTCATTATCTTTGAGAAAAGTGACTTTTGGACTAAGCAGAAACTAAGTCAACCTTAGAAATAAAACCCCAATGCAGTGTGAAAGACAGCATAACCTCTATGTCAGAAGCTTCAGCTTATGGATAGCCATATGCACCATATCATGGCTGCCTCCACACAGAGAGCCTAAAAAGAAGTGGAAGAGTTAGAAACACCGGAAAGGACTACAGAAGCAGAAACCTAGGTATAGCCACCAATCTGGTGTGCTCAACAGGATCTGACAATAGGTTGAAACAAATCATATTTCGCACCCTGAGTAAGATATGAAGTGGAGAGAAGGTTGAAAGTGGTAATCCCATCCTGTCCAGATGGAAAGCATCTGTTGCCAAGGCCCAAAAATGAGGTACTGGAGGCCAAATTGTCAGTAGTTGGATGATCCAATGAGAGGACAACCCACTAATTGGAGTTGCAAAATGAGAGGCAATCCAAATTTATCTTGCGATGCAACATCTATTCTGTTAGAATTGAGACAAAGGACCTGCTACCACAGACATCACCCATGGAACATGGCAAGAAGGGTGATAAGACTAGACCCGAGAAAGAAGGTCCAAAATTCGAAAATAAGGAGTCCTAGACCATAAGCCTCCTTTATGAGAAACATAAGACACCACCATAGAATAGTCAGAGTGAAACCTGGCAATTTACCACTTAAGAAGCCCAGACCATGAGTCCTTGCCTGTTGAAGAGCAAGAAGGACGAAAACATTGTGAAGGGAATCCTCACTGTCAGTGAATACTCTGGAATTCCTGAGTGTTGATATATGTACCCCATCCCTGAAGTAAGGCATAAGTGAAGAGAATGGAACTCCTGACGAGGTGGCAGTAGAGGAACCTAATTTGTAGTAGCATCCCAGCTTAACCCCTCAAGATCAAAAAATGATCCAGACTAAGGAAACTATGGAAACCAGGAAATAGATGTGTATGATTGCTGGTCGCTTAAGGACCAATAAAAGGATCGCTTTTGTTCTTGTCCCAAAGGCACGAAGGATTCGAGTGATGCCCACATTCCCAGAAGAGAGAGAACCATCTGTGCAGTGTGACAAGGAGAGGTGAGTAAGAGTGTGGCATCCTATTCAATAGCACTGAGCAGAATGGAAGACAGCTGAGCCCGCTTGAGAAAAATATGCAGACTCATGACATATATAATTGTAGCAAGAACAGCTGTCACAGTTCCAAAAAAGAAGCCTGCCTGGGTTATGTCTGAAAGTGGAAGCAGGATGTGATGGTCTTACAAATGATGAGATGTCAGCAGTAACCAGTTGTCCATGGAATGATGTGTGCACAATACGATGGAATGAAAGGGACAAGAAAAGTCATACGATACAGAAGAACCCATATTTAAGCCTAGGCAAGACCAAAGGAAAAAAACTCGGAACTGCAGTACCTGACACTTGTGCACTACAAACAATGATAGTGTTGGGACTCAACTGCTAAGGCAAAGTGCAGATGGGAGCCAACTACAACCAAGTTGGACATCTACAATCCCATTAAAAAATCAAACAGATTAAAGAATGATTAGTTTGTAAACCTTGGAGAATCTAGGCATTGATATAGACAAGGAAGATTGATGACTGGACACCAATCTCCTGTCTTCATAGGCCCAACAACTAACAGGAATAAAAACTCTGAAGAACTAGAACAACTCTCTAACTACCCTTAGACCAACCAGACTCAAATAACCTTAGAACTCAGTTCCAAATCTCGATGAACTGCTGGAAATGGAAATCCTACAGGTTGGATGGATAATAGTTGGGAAGATGTGAACTGAACAACCAATTGTGACCCATGGACCTGCAGAGCTTCTGGACCAATGGGTAAGACTACCACATGTCCAGAAAATCTTGGAACTGAGCCCTCACAGCACCTGAAGGTATACAATAATCACTGACGCTGCTGGCAATCCGACTAAACAGTGGAAACCGTGGATATAGACAGAATGTATTCTCAGTACCAACGTACTAAAGAGCTCTTCGGTACAATGGTACTCATGAATAAGGGCGGAACTATGACTCCTCTGTAGGAGACTCCAATAACAACCGGGAGGAATGTAGAAGCCAAACATTGAACCAATGTGCATGCTAACTATGGATCCAGCTCATCTTCAATGAAACTGGTGATCTTGAGAGTCTTCTAACAAAGTGAAGTGAAAAGAAATGTTGAATGAGAATGTCCATAGACTTACTCTGTCCAATCAGACCTATATAGGTGAACTACAAACTCTGACTTAGAACGCCGAAATTCGAGGAGCAGATATTATTTGAGAGTCGGAAAAGTGACTCCACATGGTGGTGGTAGGCAAAATCACAATGGATAAGGCCAAACTGACCCTTCATGTTACTAAAAAGAAAACCTTCCAGCTTGAACCACAATTTCCATGTATGGAGAAAAACATTCGCTCCCAGACCTTTCAGTCATCAATTAAGTTGCTGGCTCAAAAGCAACTGGTAAAAAGCACAAAACATCACACATTTGAAGGACTAACAGAAGAAAATCAAATCACAAGCAGTGTATGTGGTCTCCTTTTTGGTTTTCATAGGATATTTAAAGACTCCTGTCTCCATATCACTGACAGTCTCAACCGAAAGTGACCCTCCCCCCTCGATTGTTGTGCAATGCTAGATATCAGAGTTGGGAGAGGAGAGACCAAAGTGGCCTCCATGCTAGAAATAATAATCTAGGAATTCATACCATAATCGGCTTGCCAATCGGAAGAAAAAAATATTATCATGTATTTCATTTTTTGATTTTATAAATATATATATATATAATTTTTTTAAATTATTATTGTTACAAAATCAACTAGATCTCCAAACGATCGTAATAATGGGAAACCCATTAGTGATGCTTTGTAGAGAAAAAGTGATAAAATTATCTGAATGAGGTGCTTTTGTACAGTACCAGAATAGAGGATACTTTGACGTAAGTGGAGAGTATCATGAGACATATATCGTCAAGGGCAATAGAGTGGGGTATAAAAGACTGAAGCAAGCTGGAAAAAAATCAGACCAATGCTTAGATTGGCAATGAGGAAACCCTGGCAGTCAAGTAATAGCTATAAGTGGGAGAGGAGGTATTTATGTTTTGAAATGACTATTACTAAGACTATGCAACCATACCTGAAGAAGATCCTTGAATTGTCGTCTCAGCTTTGTAATTTCATAGAACCTCTGCTCCTCCAGTCCATGTCTGTTACACCATTTTCTGGAGGATTCATGGCGATTGGACTTCACCTCTAACCACTTATGGTAAGCACTAAGAAGAGTAAATGGATCTCCATGGTCTGATTCCAAGGATCGCCTAGCAGCCTGATAAGGAATATGTATTCTTTACTGACATTGCATACACAAAAATTAAACATTCAGATAATTTAGACACAAAGAAAAGATATTAAAAAAAAACTATACATGCTTTATGAATCTAACTAAAGAACACCCAACCATTAATAAACTAAACTGTGTTATTAATTTTCTGCTACAGAAAACACATACATGCAGGAGGTAGTACAGTGCAAAAATAAAACCTTTATTTGGCTATTTTGAAAAAGTATTTTTCCTTGGAATTCTACAAAAATATCAATCAATTTTGACAATTATTCAGCCTTCAGATTCTAATGAAAAGTGATATTTTTTTCTTCTCCTTTTGAGAAACCTGGTGGGTTTTACCCACAGTTATAGATGAATTCTGAATCTTGACAAACATGAGAAGAAGAGTCAAAATATTAAAAGTCCTTTGCCATTAAATAAAGGTAATAAAATTAATATATAGTCCATGTGTTCTGCAAGATATTTTCACAAAAATAGCAAGATACTGATACATATATTTCTCAATATTACAAATATAAGCTATAAAATGAAAGAAGGATTTTAAGTTTTTACAGATAGACATTGAAGGTCAAATAGTAAAGCACTAGTTTTTGTTTATGCAAATTTTTTACTTTTATAAATCTGAGAAAATAAACTTCATGTGATAATTCCTATAATCACTTTAAAGACAATTAACTTGATTAAATGTATTATATTACAGGAAATAACACAGGATTATTAAATAACTTATCTTCCTTTAAATTTCACTCTGATTTGTATTTCTTAATACTGCTTCATAATACTTGTAGTTGGTTTGAGCATTCATAACCATTCAAATCAAAAGAAGTGTTTCACACAAATTTTTCCATTCGCCATCAGAAAATACGTTTTTTGTGTCACCAACATACACTTAATGAGTGCATTATCACTAGTATTTGAAGTAAACTCTATAGCCAAGTGGTTTTAGAAACTCTTCTCATGACAAAAGTCTTGTTTTAACATTTCGTGTCAAAGAAAGGAAAACTGATCTTGTTTGTTTATACTTATTGAAAGAATATATAAAGGTCATTAAATAGTCCATTATAAAAGGTATTTTTTTTACTCTATAACTGTATTCACCTAATTAAGCTATATATCAGCCAGCTTGTTGACTATGCTTTCTGACATAGTCAGATTTGCTGTGTGAAAACCAACTCTATGCATCCTGCACTAATCCAGGTTGTGTACTAATTTATTTGTCCATGAACTCATTCCATTGTTTTGACTTGGGAAGAAAACATTTCTCATGTGGATTCAGGTAGCCTGACGAGTGTCCCTATCTATATGGCATTGCCCCCCTACCAAAGGGGTGTAAAATGTGCCTGGAAAGTTACCCAAGCACAATGGGATATAGGAGTAGGTTTTAAGGGTCACTGAACCAAAATGTGTCATAAGATTTTGTGTTCTTGGCCCCCTTTAAGATCACAGGGTCATCATGTTTAAAACTATCACAAGACAAACTTAGCACATGAATGGGTGGAGAGCAGATATTTTATGCTAGCATACATAAACTTACTAGTTTGGATACGTACATGAGAAAGGCTGCGTGAAACCACAAATATTAATAAGTTCATTTGATAAGAAAGTGACGGTATATTTTAAATTCCACTTTATCTTTAGTTTCCATTCAGAAAATGTCTTGATTGTATATTTACAGCATTTTGGATTAAGCAAACTTCCATAATACCTCAGATTCCTCGTAGGACCAGATTTCACACTTTACTGATTTCTAATATTTTAGTCATTCCAAAAGCAACACCATTACTTCCAGTCAACACTAGCTTACCATTTTATCAGGATCACGGTAAGATCGATTGGTAAATGGTGACTGAACACTAAGTGTAGCAGCAAGTGAAAGTACTGGATCCACTAAATGAAACACTGAACCTAGGACCAGTATTTTCCCTATTGTCACATCCACAGGAAGACAAGCTAGCATTTGGCCCATGGGAGTGAGCATCTCTTCGTCTGTTAGGGCAGCCTAAAACATACTAGACATATTACTTATGATATTCACTAAGAAAGTCACTAATAACTATATAAAACAATACTGAGACACGAATGACAAAAGTTACCTACCTATACACATCAAGTACTTTAAAAGCCACTATTATAATATAAGTTCATCTTGGGAATGTAATGCTTGAGTAAATACCAAAATTTTAAAAACATCTCCATGACTACTTTAAATATGAAAAAACTGCTTAAACACTCCTGACAAAAAAAAACGTTCAGTAGTAAAGTTAATATTAACTAATACAAACATTTTTCAACAGCACTGATTTTTCACTGCTGAAACAGTTTCTGTCAACTGTTTATCTGTAAGTGCTTTAAATGGATATACAATTTTTAAACTTTTAGGATTTACAAAGAAGTTACATATACAACATATGAATGGAATACCCAGCACACATACTGTAAAACATACACATGACATACTGACAACTTTAAATAGTAAAACTTTAAACACTACAATACAGATTTTCAATTGGCATTAGCACAAGTGAATCGATTCAATACACATACTTTACTTAAACACACATTACCACTTGTTACATATATACTTTATACATATTCACTTATAGCAAATATATTAAATATTTTTTTATAACTACTTTGGTAATAAAGACAAACTTCTTCCAACACTCATACAAAAGTTACTAAACTTTAACTGCAGTGAACATGACAAGTTTCTGTTCTATAGAATTTTCTAGCATTAAAGTATTATTAATACTATTATCTACTTTAAAATGAACTCAAATTTATCTTCTTAACATTAAGCATGCAATGAATTTTTAGTCAAATACACTAACAAAAATTTTCTTGAAGGATTATGATAATAAAATCACAAAAACGAAAAAGAGATACAAACATACTTACTTTGTGATATATTTACTAAGAGTACAGTTTTTTAATTGGTCCCTAACATTATTCTCTGGTTTTGAAAAAACTATGGTTCAATTATCGAAAAAAATCTGAAAAACCACTAATACTCTTCATGCATTACAAATGTTGGCAAAGACATTCTGAGTTTGGTAAAATATAGTGGATATAAATAATGCATTAAACTGGCAAATTTGTTACACTGTGCATGACTGGGAATGGGAGAGGATAGTTTGGCAATGTGATCTTAAACAGAAATTAGAATCACTCAATCCCACAATGGAAAGTGGGCAACTGAGGATGTGTCCCTTGGTGTAGAGTGGCTAGTGTGTGACGGACCATATTTGGTAAGTCAACTACATCCAAAACCTCACTCGATGGGTACCCACATCCTCACGAGGGTAGGATAAGGATCATACTATCTTCACGTCACGTCCCAGAGTCAAGAGGGAACCTAACATTAAACTCCAGGAATTCACAGGGTAGCCTAATGCCAGGGATCTGGGAATGTGTCATCCGGAAGCCGAGAGAAGTCCATCACATGCAATCAACCCGTGTGACCGTGAAACTAGCCTGAAACGACCCCAGGTTGGTAACAACCTCGTTACCAAACAAGTCTGCCCGATGATAAGCAAGGATAGACTGATCCAGTTGAGAGGCAAATCGGTCAGCATGAACCCTAATATCAGGGGATAGAGGAAAGACTAAATAGGATCGGTAAGAGACAAAACATCACATATGTGAGAGATAAAGTCTGAAAAGACCGATGATAGATGAGCTGAATCACCAGGTAGTGAACAGGAAAGTGTGGCAAACTCCGAAGGGGGGTTACAAGCAATCAAAATTGTCGTCAGCTTGGGCCAGCTCGAAAGGCTCAGGAGGAAGTGGGGTAAAAGTAGACAAGAGGGATTGGCTCATATAATGCTCAATCTGCCGGCAAATGAGCAACAATATATCCCCTGACAGATCTCCCTCACCCGTGGCTGAAAAAAGGCATCAGACGCTGGTGAAGTACCCGAAGTGGGGACTGTAAATTCGGAATTCATAAGCAGAAAAAACAGCAAACACAAGGAAGTAATGCTTTAATAAAGATATTATCTCCACAACCATAAAATGTAGTAAATAAAGTTAAGAAAAATATAAAAAATACAAAATGAAAATTAAACCACTTCAAGGTAACTGAACAATGTAAAAAAAGAATTTCTGAATTCAACAGCTGCCAAGCGAGAAGTGATAGTTTGGTAGTGGTGCATAGAGGGAGTCACATGTGTCACACGATAGTAGTGCCCTCCTATTGGTGGAGAGGTGACGCATGATGATTTGCATGAGCGAGTGTTGGAACTTTGGATTCCAACAGAGGGATGATGAAGGCTTGTGGCATGCATTTCTGAAAAAGTCTGCATACAGAGAGCAGCACAAAACGAGAAAAGCTAATCTTGTGAGAAGAGGGAGAGTACCTTACTGGAAATCATCTGAAGGTCAAAATCATCAATAAAACTATGACATAAATACTTATAAAAAATTTCACAGTACAGTGAAAAAATGTCACATAAATTTCTACACACTGGATGTTTCAAGTTTTGGATATTAAAGATCATGCATATTACACAAGAAGCTTAGTTCATGATGGACTACAAGTGTCATCTAATAAACATGTAGTGTATACAGTACCTTCAAAAGGTCATGATGGACACCAAGTGTCTTCTAATAAACATGTAGTGTGTATACAGTACCTTCAAAAGGTCATGATGGACACCAAGTGTCTTCTAATAAACATGTAGTGTGTATACAGTACCTTCAAAAGGTCATGATGGACACCAAGTGTCACCTAATAAGCATGTAGTGTATATAGTACCTTCAAAAGGTCATGATGGACACCAAGTGTCACCTAATAAGCATGTAGAGTGTATACAGTACCTCCACAAGGTCAAGATGAACATTCAACTGTCATCTAATAAGCACAGTGTATACAGTACCTTAAAAGCAGATTGATTTATGGTATAAGTATAAACTACAAATAATCTATTTTTTTGTTTCTTGTTGTTTCTCCTTTAAACCTGTAGATCAGTAAGTTTACATATAAACATTTGAACTAAATAGATTTAAATACTTACCTGGTCTTTCAAGCTCTGAATTGACTCCTCCAAGCTATCAGCAGGGGGAGCTTCCAAAAATGGGAATTTCCGAGCATCTGGTAAACCCATAGAGATCATTTGAAGAATTAATGAATCTAAGGGTACCCGCTGAATTTCTGGTGTAGAGTACGGTGACAGGGCTTCATATTCTTTCTCTGAGAAAAGACGATAACAAACTCCTGGGCCAGTACGACCTGCAGCAAAAAAAAATCACATTATAAAATTGTCTGTTGAATCATGTAACGCCGAAACATGTAGAGTCGTCAATTTTTTGAAGGCCATAGATAGGCCTAAATAAAATGTTTTTAATTGTGTACCAGTTTAACGTTGAATATTATTTATGATTTTAACTTTATACACAAGTGCCAAAATACTAGAATTAAGATTTGATTTATTTTTTATTTTTTGACATATTTCTTTCTGTATAAAAGACACTGTACTTTCCTTCCAAGAACACATAGAGAGGAAGTAAAGAACTAGTGTGAAAGTTTAATACACCTTAAAAATTCTAACCTGTAAAAAATTACTTTGAACTGTATCTAAAATCGATTAATATAAAAGAAATAATTTGGATAAATAATTTATAACACAAAAACCTACAAGCAGTTACGCTGAACCAAAGAAATCAAAACAACCTCAATATCTACAATTAGTGACATCCAACATCTTGAAGTTCCTAGATTAGCAAATTAAACTGTTACAGCAGTTCCTTTTCTTAGCCAAACAGCTTGGGAAAATTAAAAGTAGTTCCATAATCTTTTTGTCCAAAACATGACTAGTTAATGGTGACCCAAGTATTTATCATAAAAATATCATTCAATTCAGGATTTTAATATTCACCTATATGTAGCTTAGTACTTATCTCCATTATTATCTTATTATTAATAAACTCTGAAATCACACCTTAAACAAATCAGTGTCAACAACCTCACCTGCAAAGTGAAAGCTATAGTTACAAAAAGAGATAACCTACTGCAATGAATATCAGCAGTTTTCCTGGTACTTCTAGCAAGATAAAAACAAAACGAAAGTTTACAACCATAACTCAAGAACAACAGCTTTTTTTACAAGGAAGATAAATAAAAAAACAGAAATTTTATTTAACCACATGCTTGTTAAGTTCCCTGATGTAGTTGAAATGGACTTGTGCATGTTTTTTTCTGCTTAAGTGTACGTGTCTTTGGTCTTCTTAGAAATCAAAGGTTAAAGACATCAGTTACTTTAAAGAAAGTCACACATTTTGTGTTATCATTCTTGTATCAAATACAGCATTTCAACATTCAAATTTTTGCAGTAATATAGCTTGAATGTCTTTGTGTATCAATAATAATGTTTAAATTTCAGTGGATTATCAAAAGGCAATTGTTAATATGTTTGTTTATATAAAATTGTTAATACGTTTGTTTATATGCAATTGTTAATATGTTTGTTTATATGCAATTGCTAATATGTTTGTTCATATGCAATTGTTAATATGTTTGTTTATATGCAATTGTTAATATGTTTGTTTATATGCAATTGCTAAAATGTTTGTTTATATGCAATTGTTAATGTTTGTTTATATGCAATTGTTAATGTTTGTTTATATGCAATTGTTAATATGTTTGTTTATATGCAATTGTTAATATGTTTGTTTATATGCAATTGTTAATATGTTTGTTTATATGCAATTGTTAATATGTTTGTTTATAAGATCACTACTTTTTATTTCTAGTTTGATTCAAATCATGTTGATTTCCACAAGGAACAAACCATCAGATGCTAAATGCCTTTGATGTATTGCATGCAGACAATGATAATTTATTCACAAGAGCCTAAACCTGTAGTTAAAGACAAGAAAAAAATTGATTTTTGAATCCATTCAACCACAATATGCAATTTCCTGTTTTTACTTCTCAGCATCTCAAAATGTGGTTTTGTAAAATTTGTTCTAACTTCGCTTCTGAAGGTAGAAATGAGAGCATTTATTGGAAATTCAGGAGGGTTTGGTGACCATCCATGTCACAGAACTTTTCTCTCTCCATCTTTCCTCTGTCAGATACCAGAAAGTTAAAAACAAGCATAAATTCTTAGAAGCGAGAGTACAGACTATGTCTGTTTTGAACTCTTGAGATACTGAGCATAAAGTTCTCTCAAACACATAAAAATGAGATCAGGTAGCTTGTAAATGGCAGAAATCATATCTTTAAGTAGTTTAGTGCTAAGAAAACTATTCATGCATTAGCACTGTTTTTAGCCAATTCAGCCATACTTATATCTAGTTATAGCCAATCAGAACCCTCATGAACATTGAAATAGTCAAGGCTACACCACTCCTCCAAATTTCCCAGTTTATCAAAAACATTACCTTCCCGAAATTTCTGGACAATGCTCCATTTATTATGTTAAAAAGCCATGATCAGTAGCCAATTTGTCCTGATTTTCTTTCTAAATATCTACATAAGTAAAATAATAAGAACTTCTACAGCCTTATACATAACTGGTAAGTATTACATCAATCGAAGCAAAATACTTTTCTTTGTATTGAGAAAGAAACAGAATGGTTTAACCACAAAAGATACGTTACAATAAAAATTATTCAATACTTATCCTCTAAAATTTTTAATCACTAAATATAACTAAAATTAAAATTGTGCCATATTTCTTTCCATGTCAAAAAACAATGGTGTTAACTATTAGATACTCAAAAAGCAAATTGTACATATTTTTTATACTTTGTATAATAGAAAGAAAATATATTTTTAACCCTTTGGATGCTATAATCAGATTTATCCAACTTGAAATTTAGAGATGTTTGGTGCGACAAGCGGATTTTGGTATCACAAAAACTTTTCTTCATAGTGCAACAATCAGGATACTCATATATCCTTGAATTTTCCACTTTAGTACTGCATGTGCATACATCACCGAGCAAAAGTGCAATTAGTGGATTTTGATAATGAAAAAGTTCTAAAAAGAAGGTCAAATTCTAAATTTCATTTGTTAATGGATGATCAACACTTTTCGAGAACCCACCCGAAATTAAATTAATCATTAATACTCATTAAAAATCAATCTTGCGCAGTATCTGTCTGCTTGAAGACAAGAAAATTGTTGTGATGAAAGAATTACCACAAAGGAAAACCAAAAAATCAGGTACAAATAAAAAAGAAAACAGAAACTCAAGCACTTTTGATTATTTGACCATCTTTTTCAGAAGTTGAAACAACAGTCAACTGAAGAAGTCAACTATTCAAAACCATATAGTTTCGTGATCTTTTGTAATTTACTTGATGAGTAAATAGTTTTAGCCACCACATATCAAAACTGTGCAATATTCTCTTGTATGATACTCCAAAATATTGTTTTAACTAACGACAATGCTTCAAAATCAAAAGTGCGCAATATTTTTGTGTGATAGCAATAACACTTTTTTCTGCAACTTAGAATATTCAATACTAACTAATGGGCCATATTTTATCAGCTTACACATTACACACCATATGACTTAATATATCTGTTTTCATATTTCCATATGTGATTTTAAAGTTATAACAGAAATTTAACCAATACTTATTTTTTTACAATCTCATAACTTGTGGTAAGCAATTATAGAGAAATGAATTATACTTTTACCCTTACAATGATACCATTTTTGCATTTTCTAATTTTAACATGAAATTGTTTGTTATTTATTTCACAGTTTCACCCAAGATGAAATTCTGCCGGTATTCACAGGAACTCAGTATTGGCTTTTTTAGGAATTTCAAGTTTTGTTTTGGGAAGCCAGTAATAACTTAATTCATATTTCTTGGCAGTTCAATTCGAATAGTGCATGACAAAGTAATGTAATTTCATACAGCATGATATAAGTCCTAGCAATAGTGAGTTACTTTACTGTCCATCACTGTTCCATCTGATAGACAGCATAGCATTCACCAAAAACTTTGTTTCATTAAAGAGATTAGAAAGCTATGATGTTACATTCAGCATCAAAATGTCACACAAAATAACACAAAGCTGTGTTAAAAGTTGTGTGTGAAACGCTATAGTCTCAATGTTATCCTTATTTAGAGGAGTCAATTATCACTCAGTTTAAGTTCAAACTTCCATCCTGATATTTTTAGTTTTTACCTGCACGTCCTTTTCGCTGTTCTGCACTGGCTCGACTAATGCAGAACTCTTGAAGTCTTTGCATGCGATAAGTGGCATCGTAGCTCATCTCTTTTACTTTCCCAGAATCAACCACAAACCTGACTCCGTCTATAGTGACCGAGGTTTCAGCTATGTTTGTGGATATTATGCACTTACGTACACCCTCAGGAGGATAATCAAACACCTAAAAAAATCAAAATAAACAATAACTGTAGGGAAGACTGATTAAGGTTTACAATTGTGAACTGAGGTTAAAAAATACTTTCATTTCGTGTGGTTTTTCAACTACCCATGATCAAAATTTGAAAAATTTAATTTCATGCATGATTCCTCAGTGGTAGTCAGAAGAATTAATTTTATTCACTTTGATTAGTTATTTATAAATTCTGCAACAAATTACAGATATTACTAAACAGATATTTCTAAACTGCCTGTCTACAACTTTTGTTATATGAAGCTAACAGTTAAACATTTTTATAAAGGTCATATTTGGAGTTTTTTTGTCATCTCTACTGAGGAGTTAAAAACATACAGCTTCATCAATTGGAAAGGACTACACAATACTTATCCACAACTGTATTTTTCTACAATTACTAATATATATGTTTTCAAAATATACAAAGACGTATTAGATTTCTGTGTGCCTTGTTAATCATTTATATGGTTAAGATTTGATCAACTTCCTCCTTCGCTGTAATTATTGCTGAAATGACTGATGGAACTTATGTCACTTCATGCAGTTGATAAAAATAATGGCACAGGAAAGCTTGGTAGCCTGCACAGAATGACAGGTAAAGCTTTTCAACCTGTAGAGAATGACAGGTTAAACTTTTCATCCTGTTGAAAATAACAGGTTAAGCTTGGTATCCTGTTGAGAATGACAGGTAAAATGTGGTAGCCTGTAGAGAATGAAAAGAAAAGCCTGGTGGCATGTTGAGAATGACAGGTAAAGCTTGGTATCCTGTTGAGAACCACGGGTAAAGCTTTGTAGCCTGTTGGGAATGAAAAGTAAAGCCTTATAGCCTGTTGAAAATGACAGATATTATCAAACTTTTCAATGAATGACCAAAAATATTCTAAACCTAAGTGATTCAGTTCAAATTACTTCCTTTATCTAAATAACACTACAAAAATGTTTCTTATCTCATTGATTTTAACAAGAGCTTATTAACATTATTATTTTACAAGCAAAATAACATATTTATATTAATTATGCAGCTCAGACAGAAAGTTTCTTACTGTGTATACATAAAGCTTTGTAACTTCTATTTCCTTTAAAAAAAAGAAGCATAATTTCCTAAATCTATTCTGTGAGAAAACCATAGAATGTAAAATGTTTCATACAAAATATACACATTCTTTACCTTATCTTGTTCAGCCAGTGATAAAGTACTGTGTAAAGGAAGAATTATCCATTTCTGTGTCTGCTCTGCATAAATGGTAGCTGCTTCAACAAGAGTTGAGATCTCAGTCATTCCACTTAGAAATATTAGCAGATCACCTCTCTCACCAGAGGGGTACTTACTATCAATTAGTTGCATTATCTGAATATAAGGATTAGGGTTCATTCGACCAGTTTGGGTACAACGTTCTTCTGCTGGTGTTGGACGATAAAACACTTCAATTGGAAACAGACGACCAGGAACCTACAACCAAATAACATAAATCAGCACAAACAAAAATAAAGTAGAGAACTGTCAATTCAGAGTTTCAAAAACCATATATAATTATGTGTGTATACGACTGACATGGAAAATATGGCACTTTCATAAGTTGGGGAAAAATGTACAATTTAACAGAAAAAAAAACTGACACAAGAGGTAAATGTTCATAATTTCAATTCCAAACAATATATCAATACATATTACACGAACACAGAAAAGTAATACGACAGAATAATGAAATATAAAAATCAAAGTACCTAAAAATTGACAAAAATGTAAAGAAAAAGCCCTGTATTATCTACATATATTTCTTACTCTCTAACTTCCTGGAGGAAAAGATAATATAAAGTAAAATTTTTTCAAGAATAAAAAACTACAAACAAAAAGTAGCATGGCTGTGGTTTGGCTATTCACCCACCCATATGTATGTGTGTATATGTACTTCTATGTGTTTGTTTCATGAAAAAGTAGCATTACAACAGTTTACTTCAAAGTAAAGCTAACACTGGTATGAAGAGTTGGATGATTAATGGAATTTGTTTATTAATTAATAATCTGGTTCATTAATTGATTACATTCAACTAATCAACTATAACTAAAACATTCTTCTAATGTAAGTTGACAAAATAAAACTTGTAGTGCTACAAAATGAGTATCAATACCTGCATTGGACAAAGCATAGATAACCAATTGTGTAGCTTTGCATTTAACAACGAATAAACCTAATGAAATAATTTCAATTAGTTGGACTATTGGAAGAATAAAAAATGGTACTTATCAGAAGTCCTAATTTCAATTAGTTCATTATTTTCACAACATTAATCAATTCAACCCAATGTGTACAGGCTCGGTCTTCTGGGCTGACCCAATATTGTAAAAGGAGCATTATATATAATTCCAAACTTACTATGTGTATCTATATAAAATTTTAAAAGACTTAACATATACAAGTTTGTTGTACAAAAAAAAATTAGATGAGTAACAAAAGTAGTTGTACTCAAGATATGTCTATGAGTAGACAACATCAGTTAGCCTCAGACAAGTCGTAATGCAAGGTGATGTTCAAGTAAAGAATAAAGTTATCTTTCTACATCATATAATTTGCATATTGTATTTTCATAATCTCTAGAACCTCTGAAATGAATATCTATATTTTTTTCAGTATCCCTGTATATTGTATCTGGTATTTACTCTCCTCTACCACAAACTGTTGCTGAATCAGAAATGTAGGGTAAAATGAATAGTTGATAACTCTGACATCAAATACATAATAACATATTGAATAGTACCCTGTAAAAGGTCATGTCTTTGGCACTTTGATCCCCACAGATGCATGTAGAGTTAATTCTAATTTCAAATACTGGACATTTAGAATAATTGAACATAGGAACAATTAATTTTGACTGTTTGTTTTCTTGTTAAGCACAAAGCTACACTATGGGTTATCTGTGTTCTACCCACCATGGGTATCAAAACTAAATGTTTAATGTTGCAAGTAATAAAAACATTTTGTAAATATAAAATGATGTAGGGATGGCAGTGCCAAAAATAATGCAAACAAGAATATAGGGACGATACAACTATACATAGATCATAGGAAGTTGGGAATCAAAAAGACAGGGAACTAAGGGCAAAGACGAGGCACAATGGTGGAAGGTAGGGTTGGGGACAATGAGGAAACAACTTATGAAAGCAAGGATTGATGATGGGCAGCCTCAGTCCATGAGTCAATCATATCAGGAATACCTCCAAACTTCAGAGCAAAGAAATGGGCTAGGCAAATGGTTCAAAGAACAGAAAAAAGAAGTCAAACTTGGGATAGGAGATCATCCCTACCCAACAATCTCCAGTAACAAGGAAGAGAGTGAGCACGAAAAGTAGAAGGGGAATGGCCACAGTGGAGAAAAGAAGGGAACAAGAATCACCCCCAAAATGCACTTCCTCCTTGTTTTCTACAGTTCATAAAATGTTTCAGAGCCAGCTGAAGTAAACTTCCTTTTCCATCTTACTTTTTACAGTTGTTACATATACAGATAAAATCCCTGAACAAAGTAAGCTCAGATCACTAGGGGTGTTATTAAGCTATGTAGCTTCTACTTTATTTCTATAGCAGAAGAAACATTTCTTACTGGAGACATTAAGGTTAGTTATAAATGCAGTGTGTTTAAGAAGAAAAGGGAGTAACTTTCTAATTTCCATAGTCACCTACAGAGGTATTTTAACCTTACCAAGACATAACGAGGTGCTATCTAACTCCAAGTTAACAGAGAATTACTGTTTGTTATACAGGATTTTAATGATATTCTGCACAGTATATCAATATTTTATCAAAGTAGATACTACAAAATTCAAGAAGGATCAAAGAGCAAGAAAAGAAAAATAGAATATCTACAAAAAACATTAATTTCATACATACAATAATATTAATAACATTAAATAAAAAATACAATACTGCATACACATACTTGTATCACTGGACAGTTACCAAAATACTCAGTATAAAGTTGGATGTTGATTGTTGCTGACATCAGTATAACCTTTAGGTTGGGACGTTGGATCATCAGGCACTTCACTACTCCTAGAAGGAAGTCACAAGATAGATGGCGCTCATGTACTTCATCTAAAATAATAATATCATAGGATGACAACAAAGGATCTGAGGCAACTTGTCGGAGGAGTAATCCTTCAGTTAAAAACAGAATTCTAGTGTGTTGTGTCTTGCTTTTTTCAAAGCGAATTTGATAAGCAACTTCAGAGCCATATTCATTAAGTGTTTCATAAGCTACTCGTTTGCAGAGAGAGATACAGGCAATTCTTCGTGGTTGTGTGCAAGCTATCTTTTGGAAACCAGCAGCTAACAGGTACTGGGGAACTTGAGTGGACTTCCCACAACCGGTATCTCCTGCCACAACTATAACCTGATGAGATTTTACAGCATGAACAATATCTTGAGCATATTTGGAAATTGGTAGGTTGGCTTGTGCTTCTCTGAGTTTTCGCAGTTTTGAAAATTTCTGTTTTTGCAGAAAATTAACATAAAGAAGAAGGATTTGTTTGAATTCAATTACATCAGCTTCTGTTAACTGGTCTGTTTCATCCTCATCCTTAAAAATATGTCCTCGACACATCAGCTCTCTTACGTCATCTGTTTTCAAATTAAAATTTATCTTGTGGTGCTTACTGTACAATTTTGGAACCCCCATCGAACTCTCACCTGATTGCGTAGATCCTAAATATTGAAAAAGTCACAAATGTTCAAAGCCAGATTTTTAATGAAAAATTAGAAAACTTAATTATTATACCACAATTTAGCATTTTTCTACAAATGATAAAAGAAATCCTTAACCTATTAAAAAGTTTTAGAAAATGCTAAGAACATTTATGAACAATTTGTTCATGCTTCTGAGCAATATGTTCAAATTCTTGAATGTAAAACTAGAAACTATCACATCAAATTAATGCTAATATCAAAATTCCATCAAACAAATTAAAGATAATTCTGAATATTTAAATTATGCTATTAAAGTAAAACATAAAAGTTTTCATCACTATAAATACATTTTCGTACAGTAATAGTAAACTAAGAAAAAGCAGTTGTTTTTCTATTTCAAACTCTTCAAAATACAAAAAAGATTTCTAATGAGTATATCAATTCAGTTAGCTTTTTTCTGAAACAAAAAAATGCTGATAAAAAAGTTTCAAGATTCTAATATTTATCAATAGAAAGAAATATCAAAAACTACATCACATCAGTTTCTCCTTCCTTGGATGTTGCTGAATTTATCTATTCGTACAGAATAATTTAATCTGAAAATTCTGTCAGCTTATGACCAGTCCCTCCAGAAAATATACACAGGTTTCTCTTTAATGATTATTAAGCTGCTTTTGGTTGAGATAATAACACTTTTTTTTTAATGATTCACCTGGTGAACTGCTTAAGTGACAGCACTCATTTTTAATGCATCTTTATGGTATGCAAACTGAGTATCTGCATATGAATATTACCTTTAAACACTATCTTTCCAAAATTCAGATAAAAAATGAATATGCTTAGATATAACTGATTTAGATACATGCACAAAGATACATATAATCAGAGCTTTCTTATATCTTATAAATTACACACAATCAATGCTTTTAAAATACTGGAAAATCCGTAAGTCTTCAAATTCTTCCACTCAAATTTTCAAACATTCTACGAAACTTTAATTCTAACATCTTAGATTCTTTTATGAAATATTTTTATCAATAGCATTTATAGATATTTTCAAAACTTAAGGTTTTTTAGGCGTACAGCTGATAAACTTCATGTATAAATGGGTCACATGCATTAGTGAAATGAGTTTTAGATCAAAACAAGAATTTGAGATTGTTCATTATTCTACTGGAAAGACAAAGTGAAACAACTGTCTTATTGTTTTCAACTAGATTTTTCTCAAATACAGAAGATACCAACACAAGATAAACATGCCAAAAAAGGAATAACAATAAAACAGAGATGATAAGAATTTTCATGACAATAAATATCCTGAAATGAAGTTGAATGATATGCGATAGATAAATTGTCAGGTAACACCTAACAAACTGACCAGAAAAAAATACAAGAAAAATATGCTGTTAATCACTAAAGCACTTTTCCTACCTAGTAAGTACTGTCAATCAAAACTCATTCACTACTGACACATGCAGAAGTTTTTAATTTACCTTAACTACGTATAAAGGTAAGACTTAACTTTGATATCACTATTTTACAGTTCATAGACAACACAAATATAGATTAAACTGCTTAAAACATTAATATATCACATCTAGATGTATATTTTTAAGTTTTAGTTCAAACTTAATACTAGCAATACAAAAAACAATAACAACACAAACTTGGCTAGCTAGTTATCCCAGGATTACCTTTTGTACCAAATTTTTTGCATCAAACCCAAATAATGGAGTCTAGGATTGCCTATTTTAAGTCAAACTCACCCATTAAAACTGAATGACTTTTCAAAGTTCCAGCATTCATTTGCATAGCTTGATATTTTTGAAGAAAAATCCAAAAATCATCATACGTTGTTGAACCTCTAGTAACAAAATAATAGAAATACGCATATTATACACTTTAATCATTTAAAATCAAAAGTTAAAATTAAAATATAAAACAAGGCTTCAAAATAACACTGATATTCTAACAACCGCAGTAGAATAGGTTGAGTTCTCAGTGAAACATTAAGATATATAGTTACATTTCTTTTTCCATCCTATTAATAAATCATATTGTGTATCTGTAATAAATGAAGATGTTAAAACAGCCTAAACTGAAACTTAAACCCAGGACCCTCTGATTATATTAATGATTTGTGACTAACATTATATACCAACTGAAAACGCAAGCATTGTTTAATTTGGAGGGGGGGGGGGTCCCCTGAGCAAAATATCCTTCTTGAAGTACAGTATTTTCCATTTTGTCGAAATTTAATCTTAATTCATTCCTAACCCTTAATGCCTTAACCCTGGCATTATCTCTCTCACTATGGGCTTGGTCCCAGGGACCGACCTCATAACCATTTTGTGCTTGTTATAGTTTTCAAACTATAACTTTTAATACAGGAAGCGTATCTTCACAAAATTTTGAAGATTATCAGTAAACATTATAAGGCTTTAGTACACAAAGTATCAGCTTTTTTATTAAGTTTTAAGATTTTTAAACATTTTTTAAAAATACTTTAATGCACCAGAAAATTGCAAAATTTCACATGCAAAATCTTTATAACCTTGTAATAATCTCCAGTTAATCATCAAACATTTTTTTTTAAAACATTTTATATTTTATCTGTTATTGTACCTCTGTTTGGGTTTGGTCAATTTGACTGACCTCATAACCAACATAAAAAATTAGGAAATAGATATAAATTACTCTTTTTTCATTCTAGAATGACTACAAATTATAACAAGAAACCACAAATGTTTAGTCTAAATAGCTTAAATCTCATAGCATTATACATCTCTCTCTATATATATATATATATATTTATTTTACTTCATTGGTCTTTTAGTCATGTCTAACTAACATTAAAGAAGTTGTAATGACACGACACATGTGCAGTCATGCTACTGTATCCACTAGTAAAAAACTAGATTTTACAAAGTGACTTGCCTTTGGTTTGTTCTAGAGAGCCAGTATTTTGTAAAATACAGTTACATTTCGATTACAATACATTACATATATATTATTATTTACAAATAAGTTCTTAAATTTCAGCTATTTTTCTTAAAACATAGAACAATACATAAAGAAATATACAAAAAAATGATTTTTTTCTACTTGAAAACTTTGTACTTGTTTGCCCGCGTACCATAATTTGCTAAGCCTCATCAAATTTCACCAGTGAAGGATGTAAAATAAAATAACTTTTTTGGGTTTTATATATGCATTTGAAATAACCAAATATTATAAATTACTCTATCAACATTGTATAATTCCACTGTAATCTATCAGGCTTGTTTGCTTGAAGTTAAGCACAAAGCTACACAATGGGCTAATTGTACTCTGCCCACCATGGGTATCGAACCCCGGATTCTAGTGCTGTAAGTCCACTGGGGGCCTATCAGGCGTAATAACTAAACTGTATTTGACTAAAAAGATATATTTTCAGACAGCATTTTCACTTGCCACTTCCTTTGGCGATTCAAAACAAAAAGAAATAATCTTGGAAACGTCCCACCTTCTATAAGCTGAGAAAACCACTAGGGGGACATTCTGAGCTTTTGATTGGTTTTTCACACATCATAGGCAGAAGTGGATGTATGTAAGCATTTCCAAAAATGGAAAGAGGTGGGCAAGGCCTCTGTGTTTGATTCACTAAATGTAGCAATATCTCAACAAATAGAAAAGATAGGAGGTTCTTATTTTATATTCTAGCTTGTCAGTATTGGTAATTTGAGTTTCTAATTTGTATGAAACTAAAGACTTTGTAGTTAGACATCACAAACATATAATTTGAATCAATGCTGTATTCAACATACCATGTGACACACAAAAATGTATATTTAGGAATTTTGTTTTAAATTAAGAAATTAACTAATGTATAATACTAAAATCTGAATTATAATCTATAATGTGATACCAAACTTATTGGCACACAATTCATAAAACAGTAGATTAATAAAATTTTGAAATAAGTCTACAAACATGATTACACGCCCTTTGACATGTAGCAATATCTCAACAAATAGAAAAGATAGGAGGTTCTTATTTTATATTCTAGTTTGTCAGTATTGGTAATTTGAGTTTCTAATTTGTATGAAACTACAGACTCTGTAGTTGGACATCACAAACATATAATTTGAATCAATGATGTATTCAACACTATAGCAAGAGAGTTAAAAGACAAGAAACTTTGAAGGCTAGTCATATGGTCTAAACATCTCTTTGATTTAATCTAAAAAAATATCAACTAGCTTTTTAACACAATCTAAAATTAATATCAAGAATATGTAGTACCAAATTTTTTGAGTCATTAATAAACAAGATAATATTATAAATATGAAACATCAATCTGGTTTTGAGAAAAACAAATTACTTTTATTTACCTTTTGATGATGTCTTTATCACCAAAAAACATTTTATTTAATACAGCACGATGATTCTCAAAATCTACTGGCTCATTCTGATCTAAATATTTACTGGTGTGACCATCTCTATGAATATTCTTTTTTCTCATCTCCAAACCTTCACTGTGATTTTCTGAACTTCTTTTCCTATATCCACCAGCCTCCGTATTACTAGTTATTGAAGAAGTAGCCTCTTCCTTGGCCTCAAGTTTGTTTTTATCTTGAATACATCTTTCAGAACCTTCCATATCCCATGCTTTTGTCTTACAAAGACTTGAGCCATGTTTTGATTTACTTGACACTTTTTTTCCCTCATCACTGTCACTTAAAATGTCTTTATGACTAGAGTGTTTCTTTCTCTTTTTGTGTTTTGATTTGCCCATTTTATGATCTAAAAAACAAAAATACAATATGTTAATTCTGTGTCACATATTTTTCAATACATTCTTAGATGTGAGAGTCTTAAAAGGATATACAAAAGCTGAAATACATGTTTACATTTTATAATCATTTACACTATTAAGGCATTTTAATACAAGAGACTATACAATTAAAGCAATTAACTGGTTTAAAGTATTATGAATACTGCCACCACTAACAGAGATCCCATAAACTATTGGTAAATTCATAGCAGTTTAGTATTTTTTTTTAGTATAAAATTGATTACCCGAGAAGTATCAGAGAGGTAATCCTGCAATAACAGCAGATTCAATCACTAAGTAATGGAAATATTCTGTTGTTACTAACTTAAATAATCATATACATAAAAAAAAAATGTTATGACTAAAGAAGGCAGAAAATATGATAGGTCTGCATATCACAACAGTGTTGAAAGAAGGGTTGATACTACCACACTTCACACAATAAATTGTTTTTATTGTTAAATCTAATATTGGCACTAAAAGATCATACAAGAAATCATTTGGTTTAAGTTATTAAGTATATTGTTGACATTACCAGAGATCATATGATCTTTTCACTGATTTAGGTTATTAAGGATAATGTTGATGCTAAAAAAAACTTAAAATCTATTGACTGGTTTATAATTTATGCCTAGTAATTATCACTGACTGGCTTATATTTTTCAGAAACTGTTAAATCTAGCAAGAATATTAAAATATTCTGATTGGTAATTGTTAGGAAGCACTTACAAAACCAGCAGATTATAGAATCTATTGATTGGTTAATACTAAAACGGGTATATCTAAACTACTCTCCATTTCACAAACTTTAATATTCATTTTAAGAAAATTAGAGAGCTTAATTTATTTTACACAAGGCTCATTTCACTTTATTTTTAAATATGCAAGATTTATATACCAAATATATTAACTGAACTTCTGTATAAAAATGTTAAATATTCAACCTAAATTTTAATTTTTACTGAATATTTTTAACCCTTAAATTATAATAGCTTTCATCATTAAACAAACTTTAATGGCTTTTCTATTTTAAACCCTACAAGTTTAATTCTTGTACTTTATGAATAAACTAATTTCTCAATCTTTATTGAAACCGCCATCTACACTTAATAGTGTGAACTGTGGCATAAATTCATTACAAAAACACATGTTATCCTAGGTAACTGTATTTCCATCATATACTTCTTGTACTTCCAGCATACACTGCAGTAGCACATGAAGAGGAACTTGATAAACAAATCAGTGTGTATTAAATATTAGTCTTCCATTAGATCCTCCACTGGTACATGGCAGTTATGTTTAAAAAGACTTGTTCCACTTTAAGCAAAAATATCTTTGAAACAAAAAAATTGGCAAAGTTTACCTTCATTGATTTATTTAACACCATAAAAACCTAAAATACATGTCCAGTATGATAATCAATAGTTAGCAGTTAGGGCCCTGCGAAACTTTGAGATTCAGTATTGAGGATTTGATTCATTAGTTGTGGCTCTGATTCGATATTTTTGAATCTACATCACTTCCGGTAAACTTTAGCTTTTAATTCAGTCTATACTGGAACCTATTTTCTTGTAAAAATACTTTTGACTTTTCTACCATTCTTATTCCAGATGTTTAACTACATTATATGTTTTGTTCTCAGAAAGATTTACTTTTATACTCATTACTAACTGTGTGTAGAAGAACTTTGCATAAATAAAGAAACCATTTTCACCTTGATTTAAAATTTAATTCAGCCTATATACCCTATAATCTATATATGCAGAGCCGATTTGATTTGATTCAAATATTTCCGGATGACTTGCTTTGTGATTTGATTCAAAAAACAAATTTGTGATTCTCAGGGCCCTATTAGCAGTAGAATGTCAACATTAGCCTGGATTAGCTCAACAGGATAAAGAAACTTGTAGATTCCTGAAAATTGTTAACATAAACATCACAGGAAGACACAATTCATGTAGACTAAAAAAATGGCATTTCTGTGCTGAATGGTGAATGCTATAATTTACAATATTACATTATTTTATACATTATTATAGCAAACCTATTATTGCATTAGTAAGAACATGCACCTGAGATTTACACACTATAGTCTACTAGTACTGTGGATAGCTGCATAACTCTCATTAGTCCTTTGTTGGGTTAGTTCACAATTTATGTTACATATCAGCATATGTAATGTCACGTGTTTACAATAATTTACATCAGTCTCTTAGAAAAGAACAAAACAATAATAAACATTTTGTACATTGTACAAGTTTAAACAATGTACTACTGGTTTAGGCCTTTAAAGAGACCTAAGTTAGTAAGCTATTCCATAATATGCACTGTATTATGTAACTAATGTACTGTATGAAAAAAATTATGACATATGATATGCTGTGTAAATATTTGATTACTTTCCAACAGGCACTTGCATCTGAAAGAAACAAATAATACAAGATTGGTTTCTCACACCAGCCAAGATCAACATCTGAAATCTGCTTCATTTGATGTTTAAGCTGTAAATATGAATTATGATTAACTTTAATATGTTCTCTTTTGTTTTTACAAGAGGATAAAAGCAATATTTCCAGACCTAAGCACTCTATGGAAAATCTTGGAAAGGATCGAATCATGTAAACATTAATCCCTTGGTGGTAAAAACAAAGACTGACAGATTAAAAATAGATAAGGTATCAAAAACAGATGAGATTTATTCCTAGTGTTTTAAGACTTTAGTGTTTAAGAGTAAGGAAGGATAGTGACTTACTCAAAAAGATTCAGAGAAGAACTACTTGGATGATTCTGGTGACATGATGATAAACTTACAGGAGAGGTATAAATCTTATGAGAAAGAGGCGAATTTATTGAAGTTTAAGAGATTATATAGGGGATTAATAAGAAAAAAAACCTCTGGTTTCTATATGTTATATTCCGAAAACAACAGAATGAGAAACCACGTTTAATACTTGGAAAAAGTTGAGCTCCGGTTAAAATAATTTCATTTTTCTAACTGGATGATTGCCTTATAGAATTAGTCGTTTACAATGCAATTTAGAACAGTAATGGTCACCAGCACCAAGTTTGGTGGAGTAGAACTCTAAAGGGGGAATCTACAATTTTCCTGAACACTAAAATATGGTTTTAAATATTTATGTTTGTAAAGTATGAGTGCGCTAGAAAATTCTTGGACTGTTCAAGGATCAAATGGTCTTTTGTTGTTCGTATAACATATTCAGTATTGCTGCGTCTTCGAGATCACGTGACTATTCTCACGCCCTCTACTTTCTAGAACTATCCTGTACTTTGGCGAATGCTCTAGCATTTACTAGATATAGGGTAGTCTGGTATATAAAAGAGGGTGACAACGTGACGGTAATGTAGTGTGTGTGTAGATAGTGAGTAATTGAACTGCAGTCAGAGGTATTGTTGACGTTCGTTGATATAGCGTTTGTTATAGAGCGATTGTTGAAAATAAGTGTATCGTAAAGTTCTATTCGGAAAGAATAAACCAATTTTATTAAGTAAGGACTTGTGTCGCTAAAGTTTCGTCGGAACGAAGTTACGGAAAATTAATTAATAAACGGAGACGTAACAGTATTTTTTAGTTAAATGAGATACTGATCTTGTATTTAATTATTGAAAGTTGTAACTCAGTGGTATCAAGCTTACGGCGGTTAGTTACGCAAACGTACTATCACTGTATCAGTATCAACTTCTAATTTGTCATTTAATATAAGTATATCCACCACATACACGTTTTACAAATAAATATTTATAGGATCTTCTAACTGCATTTCTAACTGCATATACCGTTCACTTTTACATATACAAAAAGTCAAAATATTCTTCACATACAACACATATAAACATAAACGACCTACACTGTTCTCGAGTTAAGTGTCCTCTAGTAGGGAAATAAGTTTGTTTGTTTGTTTGTTTTAATTAAGCACAAAGCTACACAATGGGCTATCTGTGCTCTGCCCACCACGGGTATCGAAACCCGGATTCTAGCGTTGTAAGTTCGCAGACATACCGCTGTGCCACTGGGGGGGCAGGGAAATAAGAATAAACCAGATTTTTCTCTTTTTTTCATATTTCTGTGATTTTAGCGTTATATTCAACTTCTTGGTACTTTCACGCCATGAAACAATAGTCCATCACATAACTCTGAAAAGATGAAAACATCTAAAGATTAAAAAAGTGAAGAATATGCACAGGGAAAGTCAAAAGAAGTTCTAAAGCTTTCCCCAAATGTTATGGAACAAACATCAAAACTGTAAATAAGACTGGAAATCATAAGGGTTGAGGTCCTGAAGTGAAATTATTAGAAATACATTATCATTGTGTGACTTACCGTATTGCCCCAAATTAACGCCCCCAGGACTGTTGCAAACTGCAAAGGGGGCGCTAATTATAGTCTTTGTGCAGTTCCGGATTCTATTTTTCACATGTGATTTGTTGAATTCTATGCTAATAAGTGTGAGTGTTTGATTTTCTTCTATTTTACAAATCAGAATTGCGGTAATATAAGTGGATTATATGTTGGATTACTATTGATGTCGCCCCCAATGGCACAGCGATATGTCTGCGGACTTACAGCGGTAGAAACCGGGTTTCGATACTCGTGGTGGGCAGAGCACAGATAACCCATTGTGTAGCTTTGTTCTTCATTACAAACAAACAAACTATTGCTGTCACACAAGGTAAGCTTTATAGAAATACCCAGAGGGTGATAATTAGAGAGGAGGTGTTAATTAGGGGCAATACGATAATAAAAATATAAGAAGAGTTGTTTGCTTTGTTTTAAGCGCGAAGCTAAACAATGGGTATCGAACTCCGATTTTTCGCGTTATGAGCCCTCAAGCATACCACTGAGAAGAAGTATGATAGCGTATGTAATATTGTTAATAACGCATTTTTTTACCATATAGAGAAATGTAGAGATTGAATATGTGGAAAATTTAGCACACAGACGCATGATCTTTGTAAAAACTAAAGGTTCGAGGATATAATACGTGTTAGGACTAGTGTAGTGACTTGTCACAGATGAATGGAAAGAAGCAAGGACACGATGTTGAAGCCTAAGTAAAATAAAATAGTTTATTTATACAAGATTAACTGATGATGAAAAGCTGACGTTCTATAGCGGTATAACTATTTCTTTGTAAAATAATATCGAGTAAAATAGACGGATAAATGTAGTCAACTGTAATTGCCTAATGCATCAAAGAGTGTTCAAATAAAACTGGTAAATAAAAGAAATACCAATAATCTGTAGACTGGAGGACCTTAAAATTGTGGACAAAACTTTCACAACAGGCTTTGGCTTCTTCAAAACAAAAGCAAAGGTTCTCTTTTCGGAGCTCGGAAAGAATCTGCTTGAAAACGGCAATATTACTACACAAAGCATCTTCTCGTTGTAACTGACTGGTCAGAAACTTGCATTGGGATGCGGAGGTATTTCTGATCCATGTGACAACCGCAAGGTAGTCCTCAGTAGAAAAAGAAAAGTAGGATACGATTCCAGTATCTCATGAAACAGCAGATACATTTCTTGACTAGACAGACACAGAAATAACACATCGGTCTGAATTTAGCACATGATCTTAACAAGATTTCGGGTTATCTAGATTAGAGCTCAGGATAATTCAAAATGTTTGTGGCTGTTAAATATGCATATTGTTACGACATCGGGGTCACGTGACGCTTGTAACGTCATTGACTCTAGAAATATCCTGTTCCTTCATGAATGCTCTAGCGTTTACTAGATATGTGTTAGTCTTGTATATATAAGACGGTCACAACGTGACGGAACAGTGTGTGTAATTGAACTGACTTTGTTGAGTCGAACACGTGAGACGTTCGTTGAGAATTATAGCGTTTGTTATAGAGCGACTGATGAAATTAAGTGTATCGTAAAGTTGTATTCGGAAAGAATAAACCAGTTTTATTTAAGAACGGACTTGTGTCGCTAAAGTTTCGTCGGAACGAATTTACGGAAAATTAACTAACGAACGGAGACGTAACAATATTATGGGAGAGTGAAATGCGTAGTACTTACATGTTACATAAGCAATTAATATAGTGTTTAGCTGCAGAGTTAAACATTACCATGTACAAAGGGTTTATATGTGCGTTATTTTGCATGCATTATTGTCTGTAGTTCACGTTGTTCGGAGGTCAAGCCAGAGATGGATGCAAGTCATCTATGTCAGAGATCAAGTTTGAGTCTGTTCAGGATATTCATGCAAAGCTACACAAGGGGTGTGCTACCCATCTCTAACTTGGAATTACAGATCAAAGAGAATGCAGCAAGTCAACTGCACCAGTTGCCACTCTTATAACTTATAATGTACTCACTTTTGAATAATGAGACTTGACTATCATTCGTAAAATACACCCACCACCAACTCTTGGGCTATTCAAATCAAATAATAGGATTTGACTGTTGCATTTGAACTGCACCCACATTTCCAAATTGTGAATTGCAATTTTGTGTCAATGAGATGTGAACCATAGTTCTTCAGATTCACAGGCTGGTATGCTAATAAATGTGTGAGCAAATGCCTAGTATTTTAGATATTTAATTCACTGTAAGAAGTCACGAGAACAATACATCAGATGATGAGTGGAACGTGAAACAAGAAAGAAGCAAAGAATACGTTAGTGGACTTGGTTCCCACATTATGTGCTGTAGCAAAACATACCTCACAAAAATGGATTTTGTCCAGTAACAGGAAAGTTACATCAAAGCTGTCAAAGTTACCATTCCAAATCTCAGTATAGGACAGCCGCACTTCAAAGAAGAAGCAGAAATTGGTTAAAGTATTATTAATTGTTTCATCATGAAAGGAGACATTCATAAACTAGACAATTTATGCACCCTTCATCATCAAACGATGATAGTTATGTTCTCTGTGAGCCACTACGGAAAACAACAACCCAAATTGCATTTTCTTCCTGTTATAGTGTAAGCCTTGCCATTTCTCTTATAATTTAGTTTTAATCCATTATCATCAAATTTACCAATATCAAATCTGAAACACTCTCATACAGGCATTAATGAAAACATCAGACACACTTCATCTTTAAATAAGGCTTTACAGACCAGTAATCAGAACCTTAACATCCGGATCAAATCCTGTATTTTCATTCATATGTTATATGATAGTTGTGTTCTAATGTAATTTATTCCTTTATGTTATATAACACTCATTAGTGGCTTTGAGTAACATGCATACATGCATGTAATATCACACACATAAACTTTTTATGCTCGCAAAGAGCCTTATACTTATATCTCAAAATTACACATCACCACATACACTAGTAGCAGTTGAAAGACTGCTTCCGGCTCGTTCATCAAACCATGATAACCTGCACGGGTAATTTCAACCAACTATTTTTTAATAGATACGGTGCCATAACGTGCTGTTACCTATAAGCTGTTAAACTCAGCTTGTTCCCTCACTCTCACGAAATAAATATCATTGGCGGAATTCGACCAAGCTAAAACTGTTCAGCTAAGATACTCTCAGCCATGATTAATATACATCACTAAACACTTATACAGCCTAGGCTAAACACAATACTCTGTGCTAAAAATAGCTACCAACACCAGTAGCCAAAATACCAATACAATTGTACCACCATTCAAGAGTTAACCCACCCGCTTTAGTTAGAAACAGAGAAAAATATATAAATAAATCCAATGGATTATTTAAAGAATTGAGCGAATAAGTGGCAGATTAATATAAGTTGGATGGGAATAACTTTAACAGTGTTATGGAAGAAAATGATCATGGTGTTCCAGTGGGTTAATCTCTTGAACCATTCAAGCTATTGCTAGTGGCAGGGCTTAGAGGATTTTTGCTTGTATCTACAGAAATATTGAATACAAGTCTAAAGACATTATAATTACATTGTATAGGTCATTTATTAGACCACATTCAGAGTATTGTGAACAGTCTTGGGCTACTTACCTTAGGTAGAACATTGAATCGCTGGAAATGGTTCAGAAGATGGCTTCTAGGATGATACCTGGGATGGAAAGGTTGTCTTACAAAGAAAGGTTAAATTCTTTGAAATTGTTTTCTCTTGAAAAAAGAAGAGTTAGAGGGGGATCTAATTAAGATGTTTAACATTGTTAAGTGATTTGATAGTGTTGATGCATTATCTTTTTTCATATTTAATAGTGAGACTGGTAAGACTAGGGG